ATTCACACACAGATCTACAATTTAGCATCGGGTTGTCGGGTCTTGAGATTCATCAGGGTCACAGAGGAAGTGAGTGTTCTCCAGAGTTGCTGCGCGCTCCAAGGGTCTGGTATAGGTCTGAAGACTGAGTGTGAATATGTAACATATCCAGTCCCGCTCCAAAGTTATTATACCAATCTACCCACAGCCCTATTCTATTAAGCAAGCTACGTACGGCACCGTAAGCCTATGCCCTGAGGATTGTAGCAAAGTTTCATGCCCTTGAAGCGAGACTTTCGGAGGCCCTACAAGGCCCAAGGTTCTCCTCTGGGCGATTGGCTTCTTTTTATTGATAAGGCTTGAACAAGCACTTAACACTTAAATCCCAAACCACTACTTGAAGTGATGCTGGGAATCTTCAGACTTGACGTTCTGAGCACGAGGATAGGTGTAGGGTGTATGGTCACGGGGATAAGTACGTTCCAGCTTTCTTGCTACCCTAAACCCTTGGATGCGGATCTGGCGTGTAAAGGTAAGGCTCCTTTCGTTCGTCCCCTGCTAAGCTAGTCTCGTTGCGGTCACGAGCTCCTCATTTTTAACTCATTACGATACCTGGTATATGTCCTCATGGAGGTCCTAACCCTAAACCCTGGCCGACGTTCCTGCTACGCAGTTGATCTATACAGTTTACAGTCCGCTTTACGAGACTGGTTGCATTGGACGACAGCGCTGAAAGGATGCAGATCCAAGCGCAGAGCATAACAGGGTGTAGCCAGGAGCTTCAGGTGCGGATTGGATGTCGCTGCTGTATTTTTACATGCAGCGGGCTGTACCAAGCTGCAGTGAGGAGGCATGTCGCTCTCCAGAAAAACGCGAACGCCAGTTGGCATGACACACGGCTGGTCCTGTCCACAACAGATGCTGCTTAGGAACAGCCTGCAGCGGCTCAAGCAACAAAGGCCTTTGTGTCGGCAGCGAAACCGTTTGACAGTTCGGCTTCCCGAGTCACGACGAAGGACGAAGTTGAGACCGACACCTGTGACAATGAGTTGTCGGAGCATGCAGCCGCAGTCCCGCTGGGAACACCTTCGACGCCTGTCACAGCCGGGATGGGAGCGAGCATCGCGGCTGGTGGGATTGTTGGGACCGCGCGTGATAAGTGCTCTGCGCAATTTCTCAGTGTCAAAATCCAGGTAGGTTGCGGTGTGGGGTGGAGGAACTTGGTGACGCGGGGGTTGAAGTCCAAAGCTGCCGAGAGTGTAGGGGTCCTCAGGAGATGGGCCAATCTACGACGGCAGGGAGCCCCGGATTCGGGTTTAGGGTTCAGGGTTCATTTAACTTCAGGTTTAGGGTTTGGGTCGGGTTTAGGGTTCATATTTAGGGCTTATAGGGTCTGGGCCATATTTAGGGTTCCGAGTTTGGGTTCGGCTTTGCCGGAAGCCTTCGACAGACACTGTGCCAGATGAAAAGACAGAGTACGGGACGGAGAGACGGAGAGAGCGAGGGCCGCAAGCATTAAAGCCAACCGCGTCAAACTCCCAAGCCAAAGGTGAGAGAGAGGGGTGTGGCAGACAGACCGAAGCATTCGTCAGAAGCCTCGTGCTGTGGGAGCCCAAGCAGCCCAGAACCCGAACCCTGAACCCTAAACCCTGAACCCAAACTCTGATCCCTAGACTGGCCCTACACCCTCAACCCTAAACCTAAACCTTGTACTGCACGGCCCTCCACCAGAAACCCGAAGACAGTCAGTGCTCAACTCCATGCCCCCCCAAAACAACTTTGAGGTAGGATAGGGTCTTGGGGTTGGGGTATTATAGGGTTGGGCTCTACTTAATGGGAGAGCTCGAAACATTGTTTGACGCCTGGCCGATCCTGCAGTAAGGTCTTGCGTGTGGGAACGCGACACCACTGCCGCATAGCCGCAGGCTTGCGGGTGTACTTGCAGATTTAATGTAGATGTTCTGACTGAGCTGTGCAGAGACTGTGGCTCAGCTTTTACGCTAGTTAGAACCTGACCGCCCTGGACCTTCAAACCTTGGCAAAGCTCCGAAGTTTGTAAAAATTGCGCCTCAGAGGTATCGGAGGCGGGGCTCTAAGCTCTAGGTCCGGTCGTAAGCCCACAAAACAGGACCTCGGTCTCTTGACCATGTTTTAGGTCGGATTCGGGCATTCACGTCTGCTCTTGAATATCAGGTTGGGCCTTCCTAAGGGCTTAGGACTTCAGTGGTTCTGTCTTCTGCTTCTCCTTGTGGCTAGATAACCGCTTATGTGCGATGTATGATGTAAGCGAGAGGTTGTGCCAAAAGAGTCAAAGGACTTTCAAGCCGCATGGGTTTGGAGGATATAGCTGCTTAAGATGCAATGTTTACTATAGCGGCCTGAATATTGTCCAACACTTTTTCTGGGGATCTCTATTGTAATTCTAACATTACTACACCCCAACACCCTGTTCTAATGATCAAGGCTCCTACTTTGGGGCTTGCTGATTACAGAGCCCACAAGAACCCGGTAGAGATCGAGGCTGCTATTCTTGAAGACAACTACACGCACGCCCTGGTTCTATGCCCCTAAACCCTGAACCCCCAAACCCTGAACCCTAGACCTTATAAACCCTAAACCTTGGACCCTAAACCCTAAGTCCCTAAACCCCTGAGCCCCAAGCCTTTCAACACCACATCGCCAAACCTTCAGCCTAAACCCGTTCAAGAACCCCCCGAATGTGTTGAACTCAAAGCCGACCTTTAAGACTGAGACAGACAGCAAGCGACAATGGATGGTCTAGAGTCTAAACCGCTTGGAATGCCGGACGCTCAACCCCTAAACAGAGCAAACGCGCAACAGAAGCCCAACAACCTAGCCCCCAAACCCTGAAAGCTACCCATAAACCCTAGGCCCAGAACCGTAAACCCTAAACCCCCAAACCCCTAAACCCTAAGCCCCTAGACTCATTGCCATGCCTGCTTTGTGCGAGTGTGTGTGTCGAAACCCTAAACGTCAACCCGAAGAGGCCTCCAGCGGACCTTAGAGGCCTCTGCTGGGCTTCTTTGGACGATAGTTTGTCTGGGACTGGGGTTCGGGTTTAGGGTTTAGGGTTTAGGTTTCCCTGCCCTCGAGCATCTTGCCGGCATACAATCCAAGCCCGTGCTCAAAAAGGGTTTATGTAGGGTTTAGGTCAGGTAAGTTTGGTCTTCGGCTTGAGGCTAGGAGTTTAAGGTTGTGGGGTTCAGGGTTAGCCTAGAAGCTTTTACAATTGCCAAAGTCACTCCTTCGGATTCCTGATTTTACTTGTTATATTATACACGTTGTGGTGTTTTGGAAGTTTGGTGTTTCGGGTTCGGGATGTCACGAAGGACTTCGTGAGTATTCGGTAAGTGTTCAAAGGGGGCTAGGATAGGATGTGTCTTGTGAGTCATTGTGAGGCTTGTGCCGGGTTGAGTGGGGTTCTCTTGCGACATGCCACGAGACTTCTGTAAGGTTGTGCCGGAGTTGGACTATCATCAACCCTGACCCCGTTTAGAGCCTGTTGAGCCCCTGCCGCAGTGCAATTAGCCGTTGATTCCTTGCACCAGCTTCGTAGAATTCCTGTAGCTGCCCAGGACCCCAGTATAAGTCTCTGGATCTCTGTCTGCAAGAGTTCCATGGATCAGGTTCGACTGCCCAAGCCGTCAGGCGAGGTGAAGAGCGCCTACGCCGTAACGCTGCTTGGATCGGCGCGAGTTTTGATACTTCTTCCTTCTGTATCCTTTATGTTTCTTGTTTTTGGCGGCGAGATTAACTCTCCAACCCAGCAGATCGCAGCTGCGCATCTTTGCCTCTGGAGTACTACTATCGCTTCCACTGCCACTACCTCCTACCACTACCACTACCACTAACCCGACCCCTACCCCCTACCTCCTACTACTACCACTATACCACTGGCACTACCACTACCGCTACCGCTATCACTGCCACTACTCCTGCAACTACGACTCCCACAACTGCTGTAGCACTACGACCACTGCTACTATTACTGCTGCAGCTGCTGCGACGACGACGGCGACGAGTACTACATAGTACTACTACACCTACTCCTACTCCCACTTCTCCTACTACGACTACGACTGCTGCTGCAGCAGCCACAACTGTGTTAGTCTTTACACGACGACGAACAATAGTACAGTAGTGGTGATGGCGGTATTGTGCCCCCTTTCAGGAGTCAGAGGGATAAGGTCAACTCCTGTGACTTGAAACTTGAGACGGAATGGTACCAAAATGAGAACCATACTTTAATAGACCCTTCATGTTTTCGACCCACCAGCTCGCTCCGGAGAATGACAGGTACAGGTTTTAACTTCCAAGCTTCCGGCCATTCGTCGGATGCTGCTGTTCGCAGCTGGGTGTGCCCCGTTCCTCGGGGATGGCTTCTTCTCAAAGGCAAGTACAACAGATTCTGCGAGCTAGAGGAAACCTGCCGGAGGCTGCCCTGTCATGTCATGCACCGCACTGCTGCATCTTCAACAATGGTCATTCGAAGTTTTGATGCTGCAGCTGTATTACCGATGATGCATCGGCAAATCAGGACGCGGCCCGGAGCGTAAACGATTGCAATACCACGGATTGCAGGTGGAAAATGCTACGGACCTGTCTGACCCGCGTCAATGGTGCTGCGCCTGGATACTTCGCACAACTGATTCACAAAAGTCACAAAAGACGACTACATCAAGGGTTGTGATACTTGAACCATGGAGGGCTACGTTGGCATTCGCGAGGGCATCCTGCGACCCGAACCCTCGATGAGCCTCCCCACCGGTCTCACGGAAGCAAGGGTGAGCCAAGAAGGCAGGCGTGGCCGCAGCTTTAGGCAGAGAGCCCCCCAATCCCTCGCGAAGTTTTCGTGATGCGCCATGCCATCACCTATGTCGCAAAGAGGTTGAGTTCTGCTCGTTCCCTGGCAATTCTACCCAGTCTCTGCACGACCACCGCACTCTCTCACCCCTCTGATCCGCTCAAAAGGCGCGAAAAGAAGTACATGTATGTGGCTCCAGAGGATCCGCTGCCACCGAGCGCCTGCATTGCGAGTGTCAGCTTCCATTCAAGCGGTCCTTCTACTGATATCCGTTCCACCGATCTTTCACAAGCGAAGATCTTGTGGCATGGCATTTCGCACTGAAGCCGAAATGACCACTGTTTCCCCAGAAGCGAAGCCTCGTCCCTCCTAGCTATTGATGGGCTGCTGGGCTTGGTTCTTGGGGCTTCGAGTTTACCTCCCTTTCACAGTCTTGGCTGGACAGCACGCAGCTGCATATAAGGAGGCCTAGATACTCTCAACATGAAGCCTCATATGGAGGAAGGGCCTTGACCTCATCTGCTATAACTGAACCAGAATGTCCCAAATGCCGGCTTCCGATTGCGACACCCCCAGACAGAGCATCCAAGCCTGGGTAAGCCAAACGAGACCGGGTAGCTCTACGACCCTTACCAGCCACGATCGGGGCCTGTAGGCCGCTAAAGCCTGCAGCAGGATTTTACGAAGAGGTTTCTCGGAGCTGAATAGGCTCGCTGGAGTGGCTCAGGAGACGCGTTTCCATCCGATTCAATTCGTTCGCAAAGGGCCGAAATCTTCTCCTCTGACCCTCTGCTCCCTCAACGTGCCTCGTCCAAGCGCTGCGACTGGAGGTAGAGATTGGCCAGGTTGAACTCCGGGAATCCACTTCTAGGGTTCTCTGTGAAAAGGAAAAGGCGCAAGCCTAGCCACAGAGCTTAAGGGGGGGCCCGTCAGTGATGCTTCAGCCTCTGTCCAAGCCAGGAACGGAAGTCTGCTTTGGTCCAGGCCTGCGTGCGGGAAGACCGCAGCTGCTTGAGCCTGAGCTCGGAGGGAGGAGGCGAGCTGGGGCAAAGTGCCTCGTCGGCATGTGACCTCGAAACTCCCTAGGCCCAGGGCACAGGCGGGCTTTGTACATGTCTCCAAGTCCCGGGATCCTGTCAGCCCGGGACCAGAACCAACAGCCGGGAGGGAGACCCTTTGCTCAGGTCGGAGCAACTGTTCCCCCACAAAAGGATTTCAGCACCGCGCTTGGAGACCCCAAACGCTGAGTCCCAGTCCCGTCTACCAATGTGATCTGCTCCACACTCTGCCAATCCATAACCCTGCGAGGGGAAGGGCTAAATTGGACCCCTCTGCAGGATGTTCTGACTCAAGGGATTGGGGGAAGTTGAAGTTATCGAATTCTCTACATTCAAGACATTGCGCCTAAATCCCAAACTTAACGTGGTTGGTAGGGTCGAAGTCGAAGCTCTGTGAAGGAAACAACCGCTGCAGGATTAGACTTGCTTAGGTTCGTTAGTTTTTGTTGGCTGCCGGTAATTATGATACAGCTTAATGTAGGAACCTGATTAAGAGACCCTGGCGCTGTAACCCCAAAATAATAGGATTCATATAACGAACCCGAATAAGGACCCAGGGTTTCTTAATCAGGTTCCTACATTAGTATCAACTGAGTGGTGCAGTAGAAGCAACAGGCATGGCTATAGCTTCATGTGTAGTGGCAGCCATGTCTGGCAAGGCCATTGAGGGACTTCTTCTAAGGACTCCGGCTCCACATGTGGTCATCAACATTCCCGCTGATTAGTGAGCCCTTTTTCAGCTTGAGGGGCTCAAGCAAAGATGATCTTGGGTCTAAGGTCTAAGGATTCGACGTCCCACCGAGTAAGGCATGTGGGCGGTCCCGATTCGCAAGGGCTCTGGGCCAACATCGTAAACGTAATCGAGAATCTCAAACCCAGTGCAGGCAGACACACACCTTGTTTTGTGCAGAAGCCTTAGTGGCACAAAATCACCCAGTTCTGTGACAGTCACATCGCAGTTCAATCACCTGCGCATAGACGACCACGGAGCCACCAAAGTCTCCATGAACATGTGGCTTGAACCCCCGTGCCCTCGATCCACAGCCCCTCCCAAATAGGGGCCCTGAACAGAATGTACCGGCCTGCAATGCTGTAAGATGCTAGACATGCAGTTTTCCCAGGCTCAGGGGGAGTACTGGTGCCACGACACCATCCAACTTGGAATCACAAGAAGCAAAATATGAAGCTGTTCTAGAATCGAAAAGGCTCTTCGAACAACCGCAACTGAAACTTCTCCGTGGTTTTACGGTGTGAGGCAGGTATGTGAGAACTCTCGCCAAGCACTTCTGCTTGTGTCCCGGCAGAGAGCGAAACCAGCAAGGCTCGGAAAACGTCGCGACGACGACAAACTCTCCGTGGACATCGTTGGGGTGACGATCATAACCTGGATCAAATGTCACGACCTCAAGACATGTAGTGCACTTGTAGACGGCTTACCATATAGAAACCTACGCTTCATCCATCAACACTCGAAAAACCACGGGGACCCCAACAATGGCCAACAGCTCAAGTGCTCAGATGAGGTCAGCGATGTCCATTGGCATCTCCTCGATCTGGGTGTGGTAAAACCTCCGAGTCACTGACGCCAATCGCTTTGAAGGGGACGGGGGCAGGATAGACGGACAGACAGACAGATTCAGAAAACTGAAACATGTTGCAGGGATTCCTTTTACAACATGTATGTATACATATACACATATCGATAGGTTGGCTGGAGCAGTTCTGGACCCATCGTGATGTGGAACTGAAGTTACATACATGCAAGGCTGTTGCTGAGTTGCACATCGCGGTGGATGGCACTTTGGATCTGATTTCACCTTCGGAATGTCGTGATTGGCACGAGACCGGAAAACCTAGCTGTATACTCCCTGCATGGCATCAGTGCCATGCAGAGCCAATAATTCGGAAACAAGCATTTGTGTAACAACATTTTGGTCAATAGGGAGCTGACAACTAGTTCTTGAGACACATCTTGGTTGCAGGCCTGAGCTGGGGAGCTGACTTGGACGGTCGGAGGACGCAACAGGTAATGGCTTCTACTGCCCTGTCATAGTCTTCATTACGAGACCTCAAGATTGTCACATATTGTCACAGATGTTGATTGAGCTTGGGCTTGGGGGATCTCCGAGACTTCCATTCAGGATGTTGTGAGTCATGCCTGACGGGTTCACGTCTTTAGCTTTCGAGTGGGCGCAGCGCAAGAGGCACTGGCACCGATCAACTGGACTCCGGCTCAATACTCGACTGCTTGCTTTAGACTGTCATTGGAGGTCTCTCAATGATGAGCCTGGTCTCGAGCCTCGATGTCATGCTGGTGGCCAAAGCCCTTCGACACTGAAAGCCCTGCAACCCGGTTCCAGTTCCAACGGTCCAGGAAATTCTGAGCTGCTCTGGGCGATTCTGCGGAGCCCGATGCAAACTCTGACCGGCCTCTCTAGGTCTTTCATCACGCGAACGTCACTGTTCGTCACAAAATTGATGGCCACACCCTTTCGACCTGGGTCGGGGCTGTAGTCAGGTGGAGACAGTAAGCCACCGCACACACCCGTAAGTTAGGCTTGTAACACAAACCATAAGGTCCGTGGGCTTTGTGCTTGAAAGGGTCCCTTAATCCCAGTGTCCTATTGGTAGCCTCAATGCTCGCTTGATTGTCATGTGCGGCGCAGTGGTGACATCCGTGCCGTCAGCCTTTATGCGAGTTCGAGTCAGCAGGCGAACGGCATGGGCTTCTTGCGGAGTTGGTGGGGGTAGTACCGATGGAGTCGGGAAGAGGAGTTAGGTTTGTTGGAGCCATGCAGGGTTCCATGTGGTGTCGCTCTGTTTGGATGGCGTCTGGAAGTAGTTCATCTGGGATGGGCTCGCGCCAAACCGCCAAACCACTTGACCCCAGCCCCGAAAGCCAAGTTGCCGAAACGACCGCTGCGACCAATGCGGTGCAGGTAATTCTCCTTAGGCGACGCATCGACTTCAATCCCACTCGGAGGCCTCCAGTGCACTGCGCACAGCTCAGGCCCGGTCCATGTTGGATGGAAGGTCGTAGTTGATCACCTTGCTTCCATCAGGGCTCGGATGCGTGTTGCGACCCAAATGAGACTAGGAATTCGGAATCGGAAGCCCCTGGAGGGATCAGATCCCCAGAGGATCCAAAAAGCATCCGCAAAACCATTCGTCCCTGATCTCTGCAGGAACCAAGGGTGAATAGCTTCGCGGTTCATCTCAGCACGGAGTTCACAACTCCAAAAATGCCTGACAACAGCGTTCTGTTTGGCCGGGCGTGAGTGTCTTTGACTTGATGAGCTCCGAGCAGTTGGTGGGCGTTTGGACGGTTGCGGGCTTTGCCCCAGTCCCGGAACTCTGTCAACATCTCAACTCATCGTTTCTCAACAGCCATGTTGTATGAGTTCCACGTCCTTGAGCTATGCACCCTAAACTCTAAACCTTGGGTACTGCCCCCATACAGTAACAGTCTATAATAGGGCTACTATTCAGGGCCTAATATATCCATAATATAAATATTATCCAACTGTTACTGAGTGGGGGCAGCACCCAACCTAAACCCTAAACCGACCTGCTCTGGAAGATCTGCGTGGCAGATCTTCCAGAGTCCGAATGGTCAGTGCGGCTCTGAGCTCAAAGTCTCGGCTTCATTGCTTGACTGGACCGTGCCTCCGGGTTCTAGCAGACCTTCAAGCCATGTCTGCGTGGATGCTTCAGGTCGATGATAACAGACACACACGCACGCACATAAAGGCCAGACTCAAGTTTCTAGCTATGGAAACTGCTTCTGATTCTATTTGGAAACGACTTCTGATTCTGTTGCCTAGCATGTCCCAGAAGTGTAGCGTACTACTCTTTCTATCACGAACACCGCAGCACGTTAGCGGTGCTGAGCTTACGTAAGGTAAACCCCTCCGGCCAAGGCAGCTAAGGGAGGACAGAGTCAGAGAGGTCCTATTGGCTGTGTAAACAGAAAGCCCAAGAAGACCGTACAGTAAATGCGGAGAAGTCGCCAGGGACACCTGAGGCAGGGGCTTGCAAAACCGTAGAGCTTAGCTTAGATTTTGCAGGCCAGGAGCTCAGAGACGGTCGCCAGATCCGCAAAAACAAGCAATTATGGCTGTCCCTAAACTCATGTCCATAACGTCTGCATCCAGAACTGCGCGAGAATATGCAAAGACGTCTAAACCCAAAACCCAAGCGAGATCCCAGGCCTGCTGCACGTCAATGCCACGTGCAAGCAGGTCCTAAGCTTTCACGTGGTTCGGAGGCAGGTTGCGTGGAAACCGTATTCTCGATCCTCTACCTGTGCACGGTTCTGAAAACCCAGAGCTAGACACCTTGCAACCTGTTCGGAGATGAAGTCTGAAGCACCCCGGCCCCAAACACTGCCTCGACATCTGCACGGCTGTACAACACCAGTCGAATTCTAAAGGCGAGCGGCAGTGGAGATCAGAATGCGAGAGGAGCCCGAACGGAACTCTCGCATGACGAGGTCGCGCTCCTGTGAAGAGCTGAGCTGCCAAATTGTTTAGATGCCAGTCCACGAGACTCGCTCAGAGCCAAGCAACGCTCAGGCATCGCCAGGTGACACGAAGCCACAAGACTACGTCTGCAAAGGGAGTCCGTCAGTCAAGACAGCAGCCAAACATCTGGCTTCAACAAAGCACGGAGAGGGCTACCACGACAACCAACATTTCACACATACAGGAAGGCCGGTCCAACAAGCTCCACCTGCACCTGACACATTTTTTAGCCACAATACCATGACTGCATTGGATGTGTGCCCATATAAGACTCAACACATACATAAGCTAAGTAGAAACATGTTATATATAAATATATCTACAAATGGGTTGTATGCTGACAAGTTAAAGAATATCTTCTTCTGCAAATGGTTTCTTCCGGGAACAGTGTTGTCGTTTCGCGGGTCCATCCCGGAACTTTCGTGCGTCTGCTCGTAGCAGCAGTCGAGGCAGCAGGAGCATGAACAGTAGCAGTAGAGGTAGAAAAAAGTTGCACCACGCCACAGCGGGAGCTGCAGCATTCTTGTATTATCTTCTAGGTTTACAATCTTCATGCATTCGGGATGTCCATGCACACATGCTAGACGGGGCGATATACCCTATCTTTGACGTAAGCTTCTGGAAGGTTCTGCGGCTCAGCAAGCAAGAAACTTTCCCCGGCGAGTGGTCCTTCTGGTCCAAGTCAGCGTGCATGCCTCGGTTAGCCAGTGCACAAGGGGG